AAAGTTTTGCCATCACTGCTCTGTTCTAAATGTTGTATTTTTATTTCAATATTCTGCACAGTTTTGAAGAGTCTCACGTCCCAGTCTCACAGGCGTACCACCTGAGTGACATCTTCACAGATCTGTTAAACTTCTCCGCCCACCACCTGGTCATGGGAGGGAGGCTTGTCTACTGGCTGCCTGTCTACAGGCCAGAGTGAGTAAACAGACTTGGCATCATCACCTAGTCATAAACATTTTCAGAGTGATGATAAATCTGTTCAGTGTAGGAGGTAACTTACCAGTTAACTTGTCAGTACTTAAATTTGTAGAACTTTGTAATTGTTAGCATTTTTGGGTTGCGTCAGAAAGACATCTGATGCCAATTTCTGAATAAGAGGGGAGCTGAAAGCTTCTGCTTTTTCAGTGCATTCAAAGCAAATATAATATACAGCAGTGTTTCTGGGGCATTTTCACATATCTTTGCTTCTTTGCATGATAGAGCTGTAACCTGCATTTATGGATGGCATGGCTGACTGTGTTTACACATAATGTTTTTAATGCAGTGTCACCCGAGGGCATCAACAAGCTAATGTTTTTTTAAAATAGTAATAACTAACTAATAAGCATCATTTTTGCTTCTTGTTTATGCCCTATCCAGTCATGAATATGTCCTTTTAAACTTGTTATGTGTATTTGGATTGACATATATACATATCCATACACATGTGCAAACACAAAGTGTATAAATAGTGGGTCAAAGCCCTAACTTCTCGCTATACTGTGTAAAAACCATATTTTTGTACATCTTTGACTTAAACTGATTTTAATTCATCATGTATCCTACAAATACCATTTATTTAAATAATGATCATGTGTGGAGCCAATACAGAACCCTGGAGGAAACCACATACAGAGTCCAAGCAGTTACAGGAGTATTCACACAGCTTCACAAAAAACATGTATTAATTAAATGTTTTTTTTACTCAGTGCAATATAACTCGTAATTAATATGTCATGACTGATTGTATCAAATGTTTTTAAAAGACCTTGAAGTCCTCCAATTGCGTACCGTTTCTAAACAATAGCATCTTGTAATCTCTTCGCTTGATTCAGTTAATGATGGTGATGTTGAACTGAATCCATACTGACCGTCGGGGAGTAATTTAAATGTATCGAATGATTTGTTGAATCGGTTATTGAACAGTTTTTTTAGAGGCTTGGAGAATTGTGGGAGTTTAGAAACAAGCCTATAATCTTTGAAGTGGTGTCTATCCTCAATTTTATACAGTGACACAATTTAAAATATTTTTATATTGTGTGGACTTTTAGCGGCTCTGAGATGCTTTTAAAACCTTCATAGCAATCTTCATATCAGTATCATTGCAGTCAGTGGATGCTTTGTAATTATACTTATTTACAACATTAGTAATTTCTTTTTCCTTTATTCCCCTTTTCACTGCTGTAAAGAACACTGAGTTAGGATTTCAGGATTCATTGCAATATTCTTGGACTATAACAAGTTATAAGGAAACACCCGGGCTTTGTAAGGTGAGCTGGTGCGTCACTGCCAAGATAAGATGGCAACTGCATGTTTAGTTATTGTTGATTACCAACAACAGTTTTGAATTCGGAATCCAGATTTTAAGCTCAAACCTCATCATCTCAGTTTGGAAATAGTTTTGTCTTTGCCTTTCTTTAAATAATGATCTGTACAATAGGGGGCAGGCTTACGCCATAAACCAGAAGTGCACAATGCAGGCCTGTTGTAAGCACAACCGACAAGGTTTCAATTTGTTTTTGGCCTAATTAATTACCCAAATAACTAAACAATATGAAGCAAAGAGGGAATACATAGCAGACACTATTACATTTTATAAAAATGACTGATTACTGTCTATAATTAAAACTGGCTGTGTGATTTTTATTAAGGGAAAAGTGAACCCGAGAGACAGACGACAGTGTTTTACTGGATTTGTACACTCACAAAGGACCTTCTACTATCTTAGGGTATTTCCCTTTATTCTGATTCCCATGTCTAACCACCTGTGTGGATTACAGTAATGTTCAGGTGTGCCGAGGCTTTCTTGCCCATACAGCTGGGCCACGGCAAACCACAACTGACAGCAATGTGCACTTTATATGCTGCCTAAGACGGCTCATCAGAGACAAAGTTGTGTATTGTTAAAGCTTCTGTGCGTTTGCAGAAAGCGAAGTGCTGACTCTCAGTGCAGGTGTTCATTTGTGTAGGTATGAACCACAACAAACTAAGGCAGAAACGGACGTTAGGCGAGGAAAAGCGCCACGGGGCTCAAACTCTTTCTGGTCACTCATTAAAAGACCAGGAAGCAGATGGGATAATCACGGATCCAGTCACCGGCTATTATTGTATCCTTGTGACTGAGAGACATCAGTTTGCAACCCTTTGACTTTTATCCATTTAGCCGCTTTGTGTTTCTGCACGCATCGAAACATATGCACGAATGTGTGTGTGTGTGGTCCCGTGTACGCGCACGTGCACACGTTTGTGTCACCATGTTCACACATTTGTCTTTGCTACTCATCTCATCGGTGCTTGACCCGGTGCCTGTCAGAGCGCCGTGCCAAAATAAACATCTGAGGCCAGGCAAGTCACATGTATGAACTATGTCTCTATGGTGTGCAGGCTGATCTGCGAGTGTGTGTGTTTGTGTTGTTGGATATGTGTGTCTGTGTGTATAAACCCAGACGCAGCCTGTCTCCTGGGTCTAATCTGGGGCTCTACAGGGGAGATATCAGGTTTCCAATACCCCCACATACATGTGTGTGTGTATCTGCGACAGTGGCTGTGATAGAAACAGTGGGGACTGTGTGTGTGTGTGTGTGTCCGTCTGCCTCATGAAAATGGGGGCAGTGTGTGTGTGATGACAGGGGACACAGAGTCCTGTCAGCAAAAGACAGAGCCTAGACCAGGTCAGACTGCTTAAACTCTCTTCCTTTTCTGCCCTCAAAAAATAAATGAAGAAAAAGTATTGAGACGGATGATGTGTTATCCATCATCAAAGCCATAAAGTGAGCTAATTACAGCATAAATAGGGGAAGTAAATATATGAATCAGCTGCATAGTCAGAGGTAATATTAGATGAATAAATGAGTAGTGGTGACATTTTCAGATTGTAATTTCTTAGTCGAGTTTAAGTTTCCAGAGAAATCGTATAGCAATAATTAAGCTTTTGCATGCTTCTACATTCAGTGTGATGCAACAGTACCGTTGTAATTTTTAGTTAAACTGTTGAACTTAAACAGCAAGTCTTCTCTGTCAGTTACAGTAAAGTAGACACTTGGAAGCAATACCTGTAGTACCCAGAAGCTGCGACCTGTCTATTGGCAACATGAACATCAGTCTGTAAACAAGAAATACTTGCAACTAGCAACTCAGACCTTGGTGATAGATTAAGGGTGCAGCACTGAAACGGGGCAAAATAATGTGTCAGTGCAAACCCCATATAGCTCTCATAGGTGTGGTTAGTTTCTGGTTGATTTACAGAAGTTGCGCTGTTTTCTAAGCACAGGCACGGTCGGTTCATTTCAAAACCAAGCGCAAATAATAAGACGTGTTTTTTGTCTGTTATAATTAGTAATAAATTCTGTTTTGCAAACATTAGTAAAGAAGTTTGTGCACTTGGTGCAACGGGGTCAGTCACAAAAATCTGAGTTTCCACCATTTAAATGCAATTTTGTCTTTATAAATACAAACACTACTGTTTCTTCTTCTCTTCTTTTTTTGTTCGTGCTGGTGGAGTGTTAGTAAATCTGGCCCCGGAAGTCTACAGCTATCATTTATATACAGACTGTGTTTGGACTATCCATTTGTTCACTTTGTGGTGAGTTATAGTGAGTGAGCCAAACTGTTTAAATCTATTGCTTTTTGTTTATTTACTAATTTATTACAGTTTCCCATTAGAAATGTGCGAAATCTTAATGTTGATAAGTCTCGAATCAGTTTTACTGTGAATCTTAAATACCTGTCCAGACAAAACAAGAATGTCAAACACACAAAAATGGGCTCGCGTCCATGATGAAAGTTAAAAAAACTGATGTGAAAGGGGAAAAAAGAGCTAGGGCAGGAGATCAAAGCCATCTCATCTTTTGAATCTCAATAATTAAGAAAAAGTAATTTAAAGGAAACAAGTCGTTAAATAAAATAGGCTGTTAGTAACATGGTACGTTGTAATTACAAAGAGAAATAGGGATGGAAAAACAAGAAACTCATCCTTGTCATGATGCAGTTCATTTGTGCGGTAGAAATACTGAGCACCTGATTGGCAGCTCAGAATTGCTGCCTGGCTGCATCACTGCCCAGTCACCACGACAACCAAACATCCCATTACCCCAGAGCCCCAACTGCCGCCATGGCAACAAGGCAAACAGTCATGCACAAATCAGACTGAGTTGCTGGCGTGACGGTAGTTCGGAGAAAGTGCTACTGACACAAATATGCAAACACATACATCAGCTGCCGTTAATACGCCCTAACCCGGCCTGGCCGGCGATGACAGAGACAGCAGCCAACCCGACAGGCCACCTCACTTTTTCCACCTTCATCTTCACACAAAACGAGCTACCTTAGCCTCGCCAGCCGTGGTGGCACCGAACCTCTTGAATGTTTCGTGTTTATCTGAGAAACAGAAAGAAGCACACACAGAGCAAAGAAAGACATTAGAGCGCGCTGAAAAAACCCCCAAAGAGCTGGCAAAAGTTAGGTAGTAATCTTGACAGAATTACTGTGTGTCCTGGCAGCCTTTTAATGGCCTCCAGATGACATCTGTAGCGCATTGTTATCACAAGGGACTTACACTTCCTCTCATTCAGACTTTTAGATGCGTACAATCAAAATTTATTAGAGTCAGATGATGGATATTGGTTTAGCTTTATA